TAAGTACTGAAAATACTGAAAATAAATGGTTTACCTTTGTGAAATTAAGGCAGCTGTAGTCATAACCATACCATGGAACACCCATCACAAGTTTCTTTGGCTCTATGTTCATGCTGATGTATTGATCATAGGCTGAAAAACATGTCTAAACCTTAGGTGTGCATTATTTTACAATGGTTTGTAACATGAAAACAGGCATTATTAATAATGTTATGGTCTAACCAACTGTTGTTCAGTTAACATAATCCAAAGAGAGGGGTTCAAAAGTTATATAAATATGCAGTGATGACTGCATACAGGGAAGGGATATTTTGGAAATGTCATCAAGGAAGACATGTCAGATTTAACCTTTGTGGCAAAGGGCAAACTATGTAGAACACCCGATCTCTGTTCACAAGTACAAAAGCAGGGTTCAATAACAAAAGCTTGTAAGTGCAAAGTAATTTCTTTTAATGCCTTGCAAGATGATACTGTCAAAAAGAGTGAGCTTTTATTTAATTTTTTCAAGAAATCACTTACCTGTCAATGTCTGATTGAACGGGGCATTTGCCATGGCAATACAATCACCCCAGATCTGGCTTTGCTCATCATAGGACATAACAAACAAGAGATCGCATGAATCTGCAATGGCAATGTAGTCATAGCAACGCTTATCAATGCATTTGGGCGACCAAGCCACATCAAATGATACCTGTGATTCAAGATAAGAAGACAGTACGTCAAGGGCTTTTAAAGTAGCTATACCACACAGTTTCCAGTGATATGCTGTTTTACCTGAGAGCCTGGGATCTCTGTGTGGAAACTTTCAGTGGTTTCCTTGACAAGGGCTGTCAAAGCATAGTATTCAGGGGATCCGGTTTCCACTGCCTGCTCAACGTCGATGTTTATTCCATCCATGAACCGACTCTTTGCCAACTGGACTTTTTCCTGAATCCAAGCTGTCCTATTTACTGGATCCACAATATATGAGAGTGGCACATCTCCTGTAAAAACATTTTATCCATCACCATCACACACAACAGTGTGACTGACTAAAACAATGTTAATTTGATCACTGACACTGATAGTCACTATTACTACTGTTCATACTTGGAGATCTGAATAAACCCTAATCTTAAGTTTTAGATTTTGCCACATACAATTTCCAGCTTGTTGAAAATAGGTGGGACATTATTATTATTATTATTATTATTATTATTACATCGAAGGAGAGACAGAACACCCTAGAAACACCCTAAGAAACTAAATAGCAATGCCCTGGCAATAACCCACAATATTCTAGCATCATGGTGGTGGATTTTGCAAGGGGAAGCGCCACACAGGTTGTTGAGAAAATGTAAAAATCTTGTTTGATTTGAAATATAGGCTACATCATGCTTATAAAAGAGTGAAAAGTTTGCTATATGTTCAGTCGAACCCTACCTTTCAGGACCACACGAGCTCCTTTAGAGTGAGCGTAACACATGAGCTCAGCATCATATTCTCCAAAAGTTGCAACCGTTGTCACTTTGGTCCAGTCATAAAACTTCCAAGACTTTTTCCCAACATCAAATACAAAAACCTGGAAAAGATGCAGTAATTACATGTGTTTAGCAGCTTTATCTCAGTATAAAGATAATAATTTTTAATGTCTTTATTGCATTATACAATGTGATATACCCATTTCTGACCGAAGTTTACTTTTTGAATTTTTACAAATCACAGCTTCATCGGAATTGTATGAAACTTGGTGACTTTTATGGCACTTGGAATGTGAACACAGAAAAAAAATTAGGCCATGATTCGAACAGGCTAAGTGGTCATAAACAAAATAGCCTTCGGTCAATGGACGACTATAGGAAATGAACGGGACAATTCAGATAATTTCTGTGTGCACAATCAACAAATCAGCCATGATGCAGAAAAGAAATACTCAGCAATGAATGGGTGAAACTGTAAAACATCAAGAGCGCAAAAGAGACACACCTACTCACACACGCACGCACACACACTTATACACACCAACACCTATGAACTGGTATGAATGTAACACAGCAAATATGTCAAATAAAATCAATAATTCAACCACAATGCAGTAAAAAAGTGGACCGCATGAAAGAGGTTACACTAAAACATCAAGAGTGCAAAACAGACACGCACTCACAGACACACAAACACACACATACACAATTATACACACTCAAATGAATTGGTATGGCTATAACAATATATCCAAAATGAGTCAGAAGTCTGAAATAAGAGGTTGAAATCAGATCAGACCCAGAAGGATTAAACTCTGATAAAGCATTCCTGTTCATTTTTGTAACATTTTTATAGAATTTTAATGATTTGTGTAACAAAATGCTTTCTCTATGTTCAGGTTTGACTGGAGTAATAATAATGCAAAAACTGACATTTCAGATCAAAATGTCAAACAAAAAAATATATAAACCTTGACAAAAAGTAGTCTTTGAGAATGTCTTAATATGATGAGAAACACACATGAAACTGAGTCACAAAGGGGGCGGAGTCAACTGAATCGGACTGTTTTCATTGGTCTGATTCGATTACATAATTTCTATAACATGAAACTTTACATGGTAAATAAAGAGATTTTATTAATGCACTTCAAACTTTGTGCAATAATGCCAATGCTTCAATCAAATTACAACATGGTACTACTCATAGGTTTATTATAGATAAAGGCATCCCTCAAGGCTGCCCATCTCACCATAACTTTTTCTGCGTCCTATGCAATTAGTAGTCATCCACATTCAAAATAGTCATTTTGAAAGGTATCTCTGTGGCAATCGATCAATATTAAAAAGTCAAAAAGTATAATTCTAGTGTTGACTTTTTTATATTAGTTTTTTATTTAAATGCACAGCTGTTCTAAGCGGATGATGTCATTAAACCTTATAATCAAATGATCACATAAAGCCATATTAATAAAGCCGTTTATTACGGTTTTTGGTTTTAATAATAATCGCATAAACACATTGCATTACACCAAATACGCAAAATAATGTTATTTTTAGCAACATCATATGACCCCTTTAAGAGCTGACTCAAAAGAATGATTAATGCAAATTGGATATCGTTATAATAAAAAGGTGAGTTTTATGACATTTTACATTTTACATGATATTTTATATGATATTTACATGACATTTATGCGCTGTCCTGCAGATTTGCCTATATATATATATATATATAAACTTGACCCTCTAACACTAACACTTTCTATTCTAATTCTATTCTAACTATTTGTTTTTCTTATGATTTATTAAACTAATAATTCATAAGATTTATGATAATAAATCATAAAAATAACCTTTTGTGTTTTTTTATGTTATGTAACAGTGTAAATGAATAAGCTGAAGGATCATTAAGCGTAACCACCTAACCACGTTTTTCACATGATTTCTTTAACCCAGCTACAACAACACCTGAAGTGTGAATGGCGCTTCATGAGCCACAGTACGCCCTCTGTTGAAGAAAAAAACTTCTAGATGTACATGTATCAGCCATTCTACTACTTTCAGTTCATCAGGACCCTGAACTTCCTCATACTTGTGAACAGGGAAGTTATATATTCTCTGAGGATTTAATGACTTTAATTATGCCTTCTTGTGACATATATGACAAGATACTGCCTTCCTGATGTCATCTTGAGGTTTCAAAGGTGAAAACAAAAATTAAGCAATATACACTACAGTCAAATGTTTGGACACACCTACTATTTTTTTATTTTAAGAAGTGGAGACTGTGAAAACAATTTAACCCAACAACTTGTGTTCACTGTGCATCACTGTTGTCACATATGTGCAGAAAATGCTAAAAAAAAAAAAACAACAAAAAACAAGAATGTGCAGGAACAGGCTGATTTTATTGAAGAACAGTGGGCAGTTTAACTGATCAGAACAAACAAGAGCCTCATGAAAAAAATGCTGTAGATCATGCATGTAATAGCAATAAGGTAAAGTTCGGTTCACTTCCTTTTTCCACAGCACAGGATGTGTTCAATAAAGACATGAAATATTATGGCTGTTTGTGTGTTGTTAGCTTAATGTTTGTCTGTCATGACATTTGATGATATTTTATGACCAATTAATACAGAAAACCAAACAATTCCAATGGGTTCTCATACGTTTTCTTGCTACTGTATGTCTAGATGAGTTTAGAATCTATGTGGATACAATTTGTGTGTAAAAATATTGAGGTCATATTTTTGAAAATGTGAGGACATCTTTCGAAATGTCCTCAGTATTTAAAATAATAATAATAATAATTATTATTATTATAAACTGGCCAAATCATGGTTTGCTTCAAATCTAAGAAGGTTCCTTTAATAAGGCTTAGGTGTTTAGGTTAAGCACACATTAGGTATTGCAAATATAAGTAAGATATTGCAAATATCATTGTACAACAGTTGTTCGGGACCTCAAATTTTGATTGGCCAGTTCCAAAGCTGCACATTAGAAACTCTATCAGCCGGGTCAATATTCATGATATTGTAGGTACTGATAAAAATCAGTTATTTCTGATTTCTAACTCTATGGCTACAATAAGATGACTACTAATTACAGATGAACTAGCAAAGAGATCTAAAATACTGAACACTAAAATATTGAAATAACTTTCATCGCCCCCATTTTTTAAAAAACAATATGATGAAGCCCACATAAAAGATCCCTCTTGCCAATGAAAACTGGATCATTACCCAAAACCAAAAGCTAATTTAAATGAGCACTGTGTCGTTCCTATGACAACATGTAATATCACTAATAGGAATATAAAACCAACAGTGGGAACTAATCTGAACAGATAATATTTGAGGTACACATCAGTGCTTCTTAACACTGGGGAAATGAACAGAAGAATATAAAGAATTTAGAAGATGTTGTCGACTAAACAGAACTGAAACAGCTGTTATTAAATCTCACACATGCTGATGTTCAGAAAAAAAATCAAGTTTAATAAAAACAATAATTTGTAACAGTTCATTTTACAGTGTCCTCATTTGTAAGTCGCTGGGCAAAAGCGTCTGCTAAATAACTAAATGTAAATGTAAATGTAGTAAAATCAAGTACATTATGCATACTTAGAAGCAAGTAATCCTAAACCTAACCTAGAGTATATACATGTTGTTAATTAATATTGCTCAGTAACAGGGACACCTTAAAATAAAGTGTAACCTAATCCTTAAATAAATGCCTTATGTGATTTAATTGCATCTGTCGAATTGTGTGTGGGACATCACTTTTTTGCATCGATCAGCATGGTTTGGGAGCTGCCCAAAATTTCAGATATGAGTTCTGGTTTCTGTGGTCAGTCTGGTGCTACTTTACTTTAACTCGACAGCTAACAGATAAAGCCAAACTGACACACAAGAGACAACAATAGCATTGAACTGATGTAAAGAAGTACAGAAAACTACTTGATTTCATACCAACTCAAGCTACAGTATAGGATTTAAGCAGATTCAAACTGTAGCTTGGCATGTACTAAACTGCTTATTTGCGCATGAACTATGACCATCTAGTCATGCAGTCTATTCATGTAAACATACTGCAAAAAAGTACATACTTGTAAAACCTTATATTGTCTTCTGAAGCTGTTAAAATTACACTCACTGTTGTGTTAAGGAATAGCTCACCCAAAAACAAAATGCTTTTGTCATTTCATATGACTTTCTTTCGAACATGGAACACAACATTGATGTGAATTAATTCTGTTACAAATATCATGATACTGGTATCAGAATTTTCTTCAAAATACATAATCTCCATGTTTTAATGTTTGCTTAACACTTGTTAACATAATTGTTTGTATCTAAATGCATTTCTGTCATTCCTAAATCAAATTGATCACTTTTCATTTATAGGTCTCAAAATGAGGAAATCCCAATTCTCAGATGTCCACATTTAGCAGCTTAGCAAATAAATAAGTCATGACCAATCTTATGAATTGAACTACATAAATATAGAGCAGATTGCATGGCATATGGTTTTACAAGAATCTTTTGAATCCTTAAAAGATTTACAAAATAAACAAATGTTGGAGTTCCACTGCAAACAAAAAATAAATCAAGTAAGTTAATTAAAAAAACTACAGTATGCTGAGTATAACAAACTGTCTTGGAAAATAAGTAGTAATTCACCAACAGCAACAGATGGACACTTGGCAGCATAACACCCCAAAATACAGCTTCAGGAGACCTTACTAATATGAAACTGCACATTATGAGCTTCACAAACCTCAGGCTGAAAAACAACCAAATGTAAAGCTGTTTGAATAGTTTGCTCAAAAAATCTCGTTCATTGTTTTTGAAGCTTGTACTATGTATTCATGAAATACAAAAAATAATATTCTAAAACAAAATAGTTCCATAAACCAAACAAAAATTCCTTATGCATTATGGCCTTGGTAGCAAAGAAAGCTGGTTGGTTATATCTTGGGTTTGGTCTTTGTTTAGTAGGAACTTGGCCCAGGTTTGCCACCTTCTGCTTGGTTGTAGGAGCTGGCAGAGCTGCCAGACTGGTCCTGGTGGTCAATGGACTGGTAGGCATCTCTGTTTCGAGTTATCCTTGGAAAACCTGAAATTAAAAGATAAAAACTGTGAACCTTTGCATACTCAACAATAATTTCAGTTTGCATTATTAAAATGTATTGTTATAAAATACATCATAATTATACTTGTTTCAGAAATTGCATTCTAATTGAAAACGACTCAATAACATTCTCCAGCTGCATAAATGGAACATCTAATGGCAGTTTGTAGCTGTTTTACATTTTTGCAAATTGCATGAATTCATACACAATCTCATTCCTTCATTTTTGTATGTCCCATTGACGGTTAAGGGTTTAGGGGTGGGATTAATGGTGGACCTTCATATCTTCATGCTTTTTTCCCCAAAAATATTAATTTTAGTATGATTCACTTCATATGAATTCATACAAATTCATGTTTTTTCCATGAAATTGGGTTCAACATTCAGGCATGAGTTAATGTGAGTTAAACACACATCGCAAAACAACTTACAGTTGTTTTGTTCACACCATATCATTCCTGGACATCTGCAGCATATGTCATTTACACAGGTAGCACTGGAGCAATATGCTAGCCTAATCTTCTTTATTCAGCCTGAAGATTCCCTTATGATAGATTAACTGAAGAAATCCCATCGCACCTCAACAGAATACCATTGATGAGATGGTTTCACTGCATTGTGAGCGTATCAGGCACAGAGGTAAATGCTCTCAATTACATAATAGGCCTAATATCTCAGGCATGAGAAAGTGCTGTGTAAAAACGAAGCATCATTGAAGAAAAGGGATCAATTTGCTATTGCTTCCATTTAATAAAACAACTTGAGAAATCCAGTGTCAATAAATAATTTAAAATAACACAATTCTCTTATATTGCGCAATAAAAATCCAGGCAAATATTGACTGCTAAGACAGTGTAGCAAATCAGCACTTCTGTGACCATTCAGGCCGAAAATACAACATACAGCCAGAAAATAAAGCCTCTTGTTTCACATGGTTTGGTTCTTAATGTTCTTGGAATGTTTCAACACAGAGACCCTACACCCAGACTCACAACCAACCCAAAACATTATTTTCTCTTTAACACTTTATAATAATAATAACAATTACATTAACAAACAATATTATTGAACATAAATTAGATTTAAAAGGTGCACTCTGTTTATTTATTTTTTTATCCCATTAAAATGTTTTACATAGAAAAAACATAATAATAATAATAATAATAATAATAATAATAACAATAATATTTACTTTTGCGGGTGGATATATTGATAACATGACCAACCAAATACTACTTCCTTTTGCTTCTGCACTTTCCATTTCTGTCAATTAGTAAATCAAAGTAAATCCTACACCTTTTTTATTATAAGTCTTTTATACCTTTATTTTTATTTTAAGACGATGTGACAGGTTGCTGTAAAATAATAATAATTAAAAAAATTTACAGAACAATTTAACCACGAATTTGGAAATATAGTAAATATTTTATCCATCTGTTTTCCATACCACTTGTCCTACTGTATGTCGAGTTGTGGGGGTGCGTGGAGCCTAGTGTCCCAGGCCATAGGCAGGGAAATAACCTGGATGCATGGCTAGTAAATATTTAATATTATATTAATCCATTATGTAAGGGATAATGCATGGCTAGCTGTGATTTGTGAAAACGATTTTAATGCACAACGTGGAGGCCAAGAACCACCCGACGCGAGCCGTACATTATCCAACTTACCATGGTAATTTCTACAAACAATGAAGTTGTTGTGTGTTTAGTTACTTAGTTACAGCGATTTTACCTCCTCATTGCTGAGGAATATAATGTAGTGATCCAGTATCTAAACTATTTTATTAAAGTCGCTGGGCAGTGTTGACAAGAAGTTTCTGTGCTCCTGAATGTTTCTCTGTGTGCACAGTGCGATCTCTGATCTCTCTCTCTCTCTCTCTCTCTCTCTCTAAATTCTGTAAATTTCTGCGTATTAAAATTTTGACAGAGACTTCTTACAGAATTGATGATTCTTCTGAAACCTCATGTAATCGAACACACACACACACACACACACACACAGAGTACACAAATGTAATGAACATCAAGCAAAAGGAAATGCACAAATAACACACACAAAAAAAACACTAACACAAGACATTAAAATGCAGGAAATAATATGATGTGCTAAAAAACATAAATACCAAGACATAATGTGAAGAAGTGCAAGAAAATAAGTCAACATTAAATACACCACGGCAGCTCAGAGAAGACAACTTCCTATTTTAGAGAAAGATGAACAGGACTGCAGGAGGAAAAGGAGGGAAGGTTCAGTAGCGACGGCTGAGCAGTGTGCTATCAGCACTGTCTGTGGTGCAGCGACTATCCACGGATGTTTCCAAGTCTGAGAGACAGATACAGAAGACAACGAGACAGCAAGCAGGGCAGTGAATGAAGACAGGCAGTCAAGACAGAGCATGAAGGACAGGAACAAACACAATGATGATAGATGAATAATAAACACACAAAACAGGCCTGAATTTAGTGAAATGTGTCTTGAGTAGAATAACATTACTGGTTACAGTAAAACAATCATGTAAACCCCAATGGATTTTGTATCCTGAAAACTAGAATTTATGCAATAATCACGATTGACTTTACACTGTTCTGTTTATTGCAGTGTTTCTCAACTGGTGGGTCGCAACCCAAAAGTGGGTCGCGGAGTGTACAGTCAAAGAAACAACATCAACAACAAAAAACGTAATTCTAAATGTTTTTCTGATACGAAACTTTTATTTTGAAAAAAAAAAAAAAAAAGCTGTTGACACTTATTTTGCAGTTTAAGTAAAGACTGCCTGAGAAAACGTGTTCTCCTGATTCAGTATCTGCGGTCAGGCTTAATGTCAGCCTCATTTTTCTATCGTTATTTTTGTAACTTATGAAATAAAAAGTCTCTCACCTCAGAAAAATGAACTATCCTGTCCTGTCAGACGTTATACTGTGCTTGTAGCACGCACTCTTCAATTGCACACGCAAATGCGGCGGTGCACGCTGTATATCATTTCCCTAAAGCTCAAAAGAGAGCACGCAACTTGTGAAATAAAAGTAAAGTACCAATAAAACTGGTACTTCGTGTGTTAGCTGGGAAGGATTTGCATGAAGGTATGATATATTTTTAAACACAAATTTTTTATATATTATATATATATATAATAAAGTGGGTCGTGGCTTGATGACCATGGGAAAATCAGTTGAGAAGCACTGGTTTAATGTACAGTACGGATACTTACCAACAAAATGAATGTATATGAACTGATTTGTGCTGAAATTATTTGATCATATTAGTGCGAAGTGAATCAATGAAAGAAACAGTGGAGCAGCGAGGTTTTAACACCAGGCTCCAGTGAACTCACAATGGCACAGCTCTCGCATACTTCACTTTCCCCCCAACGCCTCAATTTGCTGGTGTGCGTCACACTTGAGGATCAACGCCCCTCGTTGGCTGCGAGCGGCTTGATTTCCTTCGGCGCATCTGAGGAGGAAGCCACCTTGAATGACTCCATGTCATCAATGGCTTCGGATGCTGAAGAGTGGGCGTGTTCCAGCTAAGAGCCCGAAACCCCGCCTCTGATGCAGACAACATGGGCCAGTGAGATGATCTGCGTTCTTCAGGACTACCTCAGACCTAGCAAACAGAGCTTATTCAGCAGCTGGCCAGGTTGTCTCACACGATGGTGTTGCTTCAAGTGTTCCAGGCCAAACTTCTCCACACCATGAGTTCCACCGCACCAGCCAGAGTTCTGAGAGCAGTTCATATGCCAGGCAGAATGAACCAGGGGGCAGACATGCTTTCCAGGGACAAGGTAGCTCCAGGAGAATGGAGACTACATCCCCAAACGGTTCAAATTATTTGGTCTGTCTTCGGGAGGGCACAGGTGAACTTCTTCGCCTCAGAAGACAATTTTCACTGACCAATCTACTTTTCGAGACAGCAAGATGCCCTGACCCATGATTGGTACAGCGCTCACCTGTACGCCTTAACCCCGATTGCCCTGCTTCCTCATGCCATCAGACGGGTGAGGGAAGTCAGATGATTCGGGTCAGTTAATTCAGCTGCTATCGGCAGCCACTTGGGCGATACCACTGAGGGAAGACCTTCTCTCGCAAGTGAAGGGCATGATTTGGCATCTTTTTTTATCTTTTTTTGGCAGAGCTGTGGAACCTTCATGTTTTGCCCCTCGAAGGGAGTCTTTGCAGCTCCCCGCGAGTGTAACTAATACCATTTTGGAGGCTAGAGCTCCTTCTAGAAGATGTCTTTATGCCCTTAAATGCTCAGTCTTCTCTGACTGGTGTGCAGCACGGAACGAGGACGTGTCCCACATGTTAACCTTTCTACAAAAGCTGCTGAATAAGGGGTGCACCTCTTCCACACTCAAAGTGACAGCCATCTTGGCAAATCATTCAAACCGTGGCTGACCAATCAGTCAGAATTAGACTAATGACTTAGTCGTTAAGTTTCTGAGGGGAGCTCAGAGACTGAATCCTCCTCGTCCTCATACTGTGCCAACTTGGGACTTGTCTATAGTCATCAGGGCCCTATGGCGCCCTTGCTTTGAGCTGCTCCAATTAGCTGACTTATGGCCCCTGTCACTTAAGACCGCCCTCCTTTTGGCTCTAGCATCGGTCAAGCAAGTGGGTGACCTGCAAGCACTGTCAGTCAGTGCTTTCTGTCTTGAGTTTGGGCCAAACGACTGTAGAGTCGTCCTCAAACCGAGACAAGCAGAGACAGGATAGTGGATGCTATAGCCATGACTTACGCTTCAGAAGGCTTGCAGTGCCCTATGGGGGTGAGGGCCCACTCCTCCAGAGGAATGGCCTCCTCCTGGGCTTGGTCCAACGGGATTTGGTGATATTTGTGCAGCCACCAGCTGGTTGTCGCTGTCAACCTTTACCAGGTTTTATAACTTGGACGTCCCTGCCATGCAGGCACAGATTTTATCCACTTAATTATATCTAATCCCCTTATAAGTGGAGAGGGCTATGTTATGTAGTCCTCAGCCTAAACGGCTTGGGTCTCATTATTGACTCATGCTTACAGGAGCCCTCAGTAAGAGTGCTCCAGGGCTGGGCTCGCAGAGCGGCTTCGTTGTGCACTTGCTAATAGCACAGCACCATTGGACACATTCCCCATAAGCGTGTCAATGCAACGGGAGAGATCGTTCAAAATGGAATGCTCTGGTTACTAACGTAACCTCAGTTCGCTGACATAAGGGAATGAGCATTGCGTAGGCTGTTGTGTTATATAAGGCTGCATGCGAATCAATGGCTGTCGCTTCAGTCGAAAGATTCTGACAAAATGGCGCTCAGAGCTTAATGAAAATCTTAATGATTTTTATAAAGTAAACATAGAATATGTTAATAAGAATACATAAACATGGAATCAAATAACTAAACAATATTTTAAGATGAACACTTACTGGACTGAAGCAACTTAAGTTTAATTATCCATACATAATTTTTTCGAAAAAATTATATTAAAATGTATTCAATATGATGCATCAAACTTTTGAGGAACATTTATTTGTCAATCTGTCATTCATCATTGTACTTGCATTAAATGTTTTGCCCCACACAAAAAAAAATACAGGGTTTTGATCATAAAACTAAATTTCATTGTACCACGCAGGGGTGGACTTAACCAATAAGCGAGGTAACCGGGGAATTAGGGGGCCCCATCTGATACTGGCGAAACATATTTGGCAAACGCTCCACTGTGTATTTGTGTTCTGGAGAGCAAGTTTTTGTCAAGTGCCGAGTTCTGCAAGCTCGCGAATCCTCTCATTAATTTCAAAATGACTCACTTGTGTGCTTTTATGCGCACCGGCGCAAACTGTTGCGCACTCATACAAATGCATGAATGCGATGACTGGAGATTTTCACTTAATAATAGATTACATTTTCGATTCGTTTCTTGGCAAACCCTAACGTATGCCATAAGAACATTGGAATATGGAATGAGTTGCATGGGATAATTTTATTTGAATCCTTTTTGTAAAAAGATTGAAGAAGGTTACAATTCATTAAATGGACAAGTGCAAGCTTTTTTAAGATAATGTCTTCTTTTGTGATCTGACAAAAAATAAGCCTAGTATGGCTTTAAAACACCATCAGGTTGACTAATTGTTTACTTAAGTTGTGAAGAGGTAAATAAACTATAAACTATGACAGAGAGAGAGAGAGAGAGAGAGAGAGAGAGAGTGAGCAAAATAAGGGTTAGATGTAAAAGATGACAAAGTTATTGTGTTGGGGCCCCATACCTGAAATTTGCTTAGGTGCCCCAAATCACTAAGTCCGACCCTGCTAATAAGACATATTATTTGGAGATATAGGGCCCTATTTCAATGATCTAAGCGCAAGGTCTAAAGCGCACGGCGTAGGTGCACTTAGGGCGTGTCCGAATCCACTTTTGCTAGTTTAACGACGGGAAAAACGGTCTGCGCGCCAGGCGCATGGTCTAAAAGGGTTGTCCCTATTCTATTGATGAGTAATGGGTGTGTTTTGTGCATAACGTGCAATAAACCAATCAGAGTCTCATCTCCCATTCCCTTCAAGAGCCAGTTGCGCTCGCGCCATGGCGAATTTGCTATTTACACGGCGGAATTTGCAAGCGCAAAGACAGAAATCGTCTCCAGAGAGGAAACGGATCTAAATGCATGCAATGACAATTCATTAGCCTATGACATGCAGGCATTTTTATATTTATGTAGCCTACACAATAATAATCTTTTAAAAATGACTCACTTGTGTGCTTTTATGCGCACCGGCGCAAACTGTTGCGCACTCATACAAATGCATGAATGCGATGACTGGAGATTTTCACTTAATAATAGATTACATTTTCGATTCGTTTCTTGGCAAACCCTAACGTATGCCATAAGAACATTGGAATATGGAATGAGTTGCATGGGATAATTTTATTTGAATCCTTTTTGTAAAAAGATTGAAGAAGGTTACAATTCATTAAATGGACAAGTGCAAGCTTTTTTAAGATAATGTCTTCTTTTGTGATCTGACAAAAAATAAGCCTAGTATGGCTTTAAAACACCATCAGGTTGACTAATTGTTTACTTAAGTTGTGAAGAGGTAAATAAACTATAAACTATGACAGAGAGAGAGAGAGAGAGAGAGAGAGAGAGAGTGAGCAAAATAAGGGTTAGATGTAAAAGATGACAAAGTTATTGTGTTGGGGCCCCATACCTGAAATTTGCTTAGGTGCCCCAAATCACTAAGTCCGACCCTGCTAATAAGACATATTATTTGGAGATATAGGGCCCTATTTCAATGATCTAAGCGCAAGGTCTAAAGCGCACGGCGTAGGTGCACTTAGGGCGTGTCCGAATCCACTTTTGCTAGTTTAATGACGGGAAAAATGGTCGGCGCCCGGCGCATGGTCTAAAAGGGTTGTACCTATTCTATTCATGAGTAATGGGTGTCTTTTGGGCATAATGTGCATGATGCTCACGCCATGGCGTATTCGCTATTTACACAGCGGAATTTGCAAGTGCAAAGAGTGTCTCCAGAGAGGAAACAGAGCTGCTTGTGCGTGAGAAAATAGGTAGCCTAATTTTGATGCATGCAATGACTATCCATTATGACATGTAGGCATTTTTATATTTATGTAGCCTACACAATAATAATCTTTTACATTTTAATCCTTTAATTTTTAAAAATGTTTGTGTGCTGCTGCACATACCTGTGTGTGTAATAAGCAAAGTGTACACGCGTTGTTCACCCGCCTATAGGCGCATATTACTAACGCTCTTTAAATTAAATTAAATAATAAAATATTGCGCCAGACTTTAGACAAGATTTTTGTTGGTCAATGGCGCAGTCTATTTCAGTTGCCTCAAAATAGCAACGCGCCAGTAATGCACCTGAACACACCTCGTTTTCAGACCAGCATGCCCATGGGCACACAAATGAGCACAAATGCATTTGCTATTTAAACAACGTGGCGCAGGATGTGAAAATGACAACTGCCTCGGGCTGAAACTAGCAAAAACCACATGCGTCGTGCCTAGCGCCGCATTGCGCCAGCTGCATGATAGGGCCCATAGAGTGACAACTGATATTTATATGTATTTTGTGTAAATAGTCTGCTATCATGTTATAAAGATCTCATTGATTTACAATGCAAACCATTTGAATTTCATCTTACTTTTTGACCAGATAAATATCAGCAACTGATATTTACGTCAAATTTCATATTTTTGCTCAGTTGAATAAAACTGAGGTGTCCATGTTTTTTATCATACTGTAATCATACAAGTGGTCTATGATACTCAACAAAAAAAAAAACATGTAATTTTTGTGCAACATATGCTCCATATGATCCTTTTAGGCCCAAGCCCTTTTTTTCAGACTGCAGAGATCAGTCAAGCTGTCTGTCTCTTGTCTTTTCTGTGGGCCGCTCTTTCAGGCATCTGCCTTTTGACCAGCCCTAAAACTCAATTAAACGCTCCTCTTTTTACTCATTTTGCTTGCCATTTTGAGTGAAATACTCTGCTTGTGCTCCACAATCAGTGAGCTAGGAATTATAGTGCCTAAAATAGACTCAATAATGCTTTAAACAAACCAAAGCAAACAATGCTGGCATTTTAACCTCACAGAAAGACTTTCACATGCATCAGAAAGCACTCTGAACCAAAATTAATCAGTCACTTTCTTCTATTCTTTCTCCCCCGGGCCTTCGGTCACCCACTTACCGAAGTTGACGTTGTATTCGCCACCCCGCTCACGGTACATCTGGTAGACAAAGATGCAGGAAACAGGTTTGAGCAGCAGGCTCAGGATGGCCATGCCCCCACAAAAGCGGAACAAGCCCAGGTTTCTCTCATAATGGCTTCTAACCTCCGCATAGTACAGCCCAAAATGAACAATGTCAGTCAGGATGGTCACTGCCAACCCAATCAAGAACTGAATGAAGGAGAGAAGAGATCAAATATTAGTATGGCAAATATACTATGTACAAGAACATAAGAAGGTCAAAAAATAATCTCAGCATGCTCATAGGCCATCTCGTAAACTCGAATCTGATTGGCTGGCTTTAGACAACTTTCGGGGAGGAGGACACAGATTTTTTGTATCAGGAAGAACACTAATTCAAATTAATTCAAACTAAGTTACAAGTATAATAAAATTTTATGCATTACACATTATACACATTACACAATCTATTTCAGATAAACTCACCCCTAAATGGCACACAAAAACCAAACAAACTGTAATTTCTTGCTTTACACGTCAGTCAGATGCTCTTTTCCTGTCTAAGAGGGTGGTTTATCCCGACAGTTAACTGTAATGTGGACCAGACCTTATAGTCAAAATTCTGGCTATGCAAGACTCAAGCTGTGGATTTCCCATCTGTCATCAATATTGAATAAAATGTTTGTCTTTAAGCCTTCATGACCTAAAAATCATGTTCTTCTTGGATGGAAAAAAAGTCACACCTACCATTAATACAGCATCTATGGAGTCTCTCTGTGCAATGGCCCACACTCCCACTGCAAGGGCACTCACGTTCCCCAACACGTAAGAAGTAGGAAGCCAGGTGATCGAACATGCCCTGCATACAAACATGGATTAAAACCTTTTAAGACTAATATTTTAATTAGGGCTGTCAATATAACTCAGTTTGCTAAAATAAATAAAACAATAAAGTGATTTTTAAAAAAATAGAGCAAATGAAAACTTCATTGTCCTCTGATCCATACATACATTTTATAATAAGCCATTTTTCTACTGTCGGAGCATTCAAGCTTCAAGTACCACCTAAATTCAAAGCATATTTCCGTGACCTGTGCAGCCAGCATAGCTCCAGCTGCTACTACAGACAATGTACCACACTAACTGAGAGAAGAGATCAATTCAAATTAATTCAAATTAATCTGTTACATAATTTATTAATACAATACAATATGAAAATGGCTTCAAATGTTATAAATACACACACATTTAGAGGCTTGAATTTTTTAGTCTGGAGAAGAAATATATTTCCATTTCTGTTGCACTAAAAACTGGATAATAAAGTTTTACTAATGGTGAAATTCCTCAGGTTAGTGTGGGAAAACAGAAACGAGAAAGGCAAATGCACCAGAACTCTCACCAGATTGTCAGTAACCAGTGAGCCAACACGATGGCCTGCAGAACACACACACACACACACACACACACACACACACACACAGTGCAGCTCATGAGTAAATGTACAAATCTGTTCCCTAGACATAGGCCGTGGCTCAAACCCAGTAAACATTCAGTCATGGGCCTTTTTGGGCTTACATGCCCAAAATGTTGCTGCACCTATGATCTGGGGCATCTCTAAAGTTCACAGTGCCCAGAACAAATACAAATACCTTTAATAAATGCAATGGGTTTCTAAAATGATGAGGATATGAACCCATACAAAAGAACGATTCTGTCCAAAATGAATAAAATAAATATATTTACAGCACTACTATATCCATTCAGAATCTTACTGGTTCCTGGTTATAATAATAAGCAAAACTGAGGAAATAATGTAACAAAACTGACCAAAAGTTGCTTTAATGGATAATAGGTAGATAGATAATAGGTAATAGATAATTAAGTTACTGCTAAATTATTTAACAAATTTAATGTTTCCTGTATCATAAAAAGTGTAGAAATATTTTAAATAAAACAAGCTTTTTCTTTTGATCTTTAAGGTTTTGATGGATCATCTAGCAAAGGATATTTTTTTATATCAATGTACTCACTGTACAACACACATACTGAATGAAACATAATGAGACATAAATACATTACCTTGAGATTTATTGCTGGTATTTCCATAGTTTCACTGCCCCTTTATGATTTTGTGTCCCTCTGTAGTTTTCAGTATTTCACAAAGGAAGCCTCAAACACTTTCATTGTAACTGTGTGTAACAGAAGTTTGCTCAGCTCTCTGAAGTGACTGCAAACATAAACCATGTGACACCAGCATGACCAGAGCCATGTGACTACACCTCCCACAACTCATTACTCCATCTGAACATATTTTATTTTTTATTTATTTTTATTTAGTCATTTAGCAGACGCTTTTATCCAAAGAGACTTACAAATGAGGACAACAGAAACTATATATATACACACACATTTATAAATTCAATATATATATTATTTCATTTCCATTTAGTTTGTTGAAGTATTAAAATAACTCAAATTAAATTAAAATAAAACTTAATAAAAGACCTATACAGACATAATAAATTCAGACATAATTTAACTAAAATTAAAATAAATAACAAATACAAATAATACAAATCAAACGACAGTAGTTTATCAGTAATCCTAAAAAATAACACTGCCAAACTTACATGATAAAAAACAACAACTTACTTACACATAGTGAGAAATGGTTATAAAAACTGAAACAGAAGTGAAACAAGTAATAGGAAAGAGGATAAATAAAAAGCGATACTTATTGACTTAACATATGAGAGCATAATAATTTTCTAGATTCACCCCGGTACATATTTACAATAACATCTTGTTTTCTGAAAGTTATAGGAGAGATCAATAGGGTTCATGATCCATAGGGTTTTTTGTTTTTGTTTTTTTACTTTTCCTTTTTGTCTTCTGTCATTGTGCATGTTGTTTGGCTCTAGAAAAATATCAATGCATCTAAACAGAGTTTGACAAGTTATTCTTCAGCTCCCATCGTTTTGTGGCTCATGTTATTTTAATACGCAGTCCTTTAAAGACTTGTCATAGCGGAAACAACCTAAATAAATTGCACATACCTCTTGGCTCATTCATAACTAAATAAAACATAGCCTGTGCTCATAAATGATTTGTTAAATGCTCCTACACAGACACACATGCTTATGGACATGAAATTACTAAATTCAACAAAACTGAATTTGATAGATGCTGCTGGTCCAATTAGCCAGCTGTGATCCATGATTTTAATAACACCTGGGAAAGTTCTTTGGAAGCATATGTCACTAAGTCTGACGAATAGCTCAGATCTGAGCTAGAGGAACCAAAACCTACTTTGGAAGGTTTTCACATGTCATATGGGAAATCAGTTACTTTGTTGTTTGAGAGTCTGGCAAAAAGGTTCATCTTCCTGTTTGACCTCTGATATATATTAGGCTTGTCTTCACAAATGATAGTGTTATGATGCACATAAGAGGTAGTTTTGTGTGTGTGTATGTGTGTGTGTGTGTGTGTGTGTGTGTGTGTGTGTAGGCCTACCTGTTTTTCTATTCTGGTGGGGACTTAAACCTGAATACACACAGACTCATGGGGACTTGTGTCATGGTGGGGACTCAAATTGAGGTCCCCACAGGTAAACAAGCTAATAAATCACACAGTATGAAGTTTTTTGAAAATCTAAAAATGCAGAAAGTTAGGTTTAGGTGTAGGGTTGGTGTAGGGCAATAGAATATATGGTCTGTACAGTAGAAAAAACATTACGCCTATGGAGAGTCCCCACAAGGATAGCAAACCAGACGTGTGTGTGTGTGTGTGTGTGTGTGTGTGTGTGTGTGTGTGTGTGTTTCACTATTAAGCCACACTAGACTTTGAGCGTGCAACATTTCTGTGGATACTGGTTTGTAGTACATCTAAAATGTAAAAATATGCTGCAAAACGCTGCAAACCTGCAGATTTAAAGTTTTCGCTCTTTTATTTCTGGCTAGAGGTCACACGTGATATATCGATCTTCTGTTGGTCAGACATCTTCACTTTTGCAAATTTGAAGGTCAGAGTTCAACAAACGTATACTTCAGATTGCACCAAAATTCACATGAACTTGCATTTCCTATTTCCATTTCCTAGATAATGTAGAAATAGACGAGCCAATGGAACGAAAAGTGTAGAGTGTCTGCACCTTTACTCTTGTTCATTCTTAGAGTTTGAACAAACTCCTAATTTGAGTTAATTTGAGCATTTGTATGTCACTAATTCCAACATGTTGCTGCTATGGTCATGAAGGATACCTCAAAAACGTGGCTTATTGCTATTAATTTTCACTCACTTAGCAATGTCCTGGCAACCATGAAGAACACTATAAAATCATGGCATATAGGCATATACACCACTCAAATCTTCTACAGAATATGTTGAAAACATACAATCTGCACAAGCCTGTACTGATACGCATGATGTTAAAAAACAGGAGGAATCTTCCTGATGTGTTACAAAACATACTGCTACCACACAACACAATAAAATGTCCTGTGTTGCTTAAATCACAGATTTCTTACGGTGAATATCAGCTACTGAATGTACATCTACTGCATTTCAACAGCAGTGCATAAGGAAACATCTCTTTCGCTGTCCCTCACTCTTATCCCATGCTTTATTGACTGTTTTATAGTCAATGCAGCTCCTGGGGTGACAGTGTTGTGCAGTGAGTGTCCAATCGGGATGTGTGTGAATGTGATATATCATTTCTGTGGCCTCACTCCCAGACCAGCCAAGCCCAGCATGAGACTGCATCAAAAATACATCAGCCCGATCTTCTTAAAAGCACAAGAGTGTGATGCTTTTTTTTTTCAAAACTGAATTACAGTCGGTATAGGAGGAAGGTAACATGTATTTAGATTTTTATCTTTGTTGCAGCTGCTAATTTTAAACAGTTCTGTAGAGGACCCTGCTTGACCCGTATGTCTATAATTTGAGCCTTTTATGACAACCAGTTAGTTCAGGTTGTAAAATGTCAATGGTGCAACTCCTCAAAAATGTAATTTATTAATTATTTTTTTAAACAAACCTTTATCCTATTAAACTGGGTATCCTAGCTTTCGCCAGTAGGAAAAATATATTGCTAACCTGGATCAATAACCATCTCTCAAAGGTTAGATTATTAGAGGAATTATTCATTTAGAACTTCTAATATGTGTTGGTTATGTGCTTTTCAATTCAAGATGTCTGGATTTTAAAATAATATTTTGAGGTATGATACATCATACCTGTCATTGATATTTCAGTTTTTCTTTTTTAATAAATCTGCAAAAATGTCAACAATTCTGTGTTTTTCGGTCAATATGGGGTGCTGTGTGTACATTAATGAGGAAAAAAATTAACTTAAATGATTTTAGCAAATGGCTGCAATATAACAAAGAGTGGAAAATGTAAGGGGGTCTGAATACTTTCCGTACCCACTGTATATACTTTTAAATTGATGATTGAACAACATTTGATATTTAAAGTCATCATATTTAAACTTTTCTTTAAAAACCAGGTGAAACCAACATGAAAACCATTTTCACATTTTCAGTTTTCTTTTTTAATTTCAATACATATATACATTTCAAAGCCAATTTAAACTACATTTTAAGAAGATTTTTTCTTTATTGTAGACTATTATTTATTATTGACCCACATGCAGTTCTGGTGTTAAGCTTGCATTGTGCTTGTGGAGTCACCTGGGGGCCCTGTTGTTCAGCTCACACTGTACTCTCTGAGGGTCCCTCATTTAAAAGTTGCAGAGGGCCCAGTGGTTATCTCATATACACGAGTGGCCTGGAGATTTCAATGATCAGCTCGGACTGTATGCAACTCAGACCCCAGTGTTAAGTTTTCTTTTGCAGTCTGGAGCCATGCAGCCTGAGGCTTTAAAAGGCCCCTGGCATTTAAAGGCCTTGTGTGGCATTAACCCACTAGCCTTGTCCATTGACTAGCACTAATGTGCAAAAATTTATTTGGACTCTACCTCGCAAATATTGATATGGGGTGATAAATTGAAGGTGAAAAACAAGAAACAGTGATACTCAGGAAGCAAGTGTGACACAGAATACACAAAGATAATGGGAAGATAAATAAACAGCAAGGAAGTCAGAAGGACACAAAGACAGAGAAAGCAAGGTCACCTGCTCTGCAGAGAGCCTTCCAGTCCCTGGACAGAGACGATGCCACAGACTATTAGTCAGTTTAGAGGACACATCCATGCATTATAGAGCTCTCTGAGGAAGTTTTTTTCAGAGGCATCATACACTGCCTGAGGTTCTAGATTCAATGGCAAGTCTAGGCTTTACCGCCAGTGTTCACCTTTTTGTGTAATTTTGCTAATAAAATTATCTTTAATACCTACAGATAATGCCTTTTTTGATTAATATCTAAATTCCTGTAGTTTAGATCAATCATGCAATAAAGTTCAAACTAATTATTTTGCAAACCATATTGCAGCACAATTCAAAAAACATAATCAAAAGTAATAAATACATATCTTCTGTATCTTCTCCTGTCTATAATTTGTTTCATTATCATGTTTCATAATTCACTGATGCGTTATATGAGAATGGTTTGATGTTTCAACTTGGAAAAAGCATCCTCCAGCATGGTCTGAGGATGATTTCACCTAAATCTATAAGAGAAGTTTGAAAAAGTATGTAGCTACACAAGGAATCTAATGCAGTTATGGTTGGAATCCTTTGTCAACTTCTCATGTACTCTCAGGGTATGATGCTGATACATTCGTCACAATACGTCAATGCATTGATGAAAATTATGACACAATATAGCTGACCTAAGAGCATGATTTTTTTTTTATTAATTTTTTTTGCCTAACCAGTTAATCACAAACCCCATCCCACAGTTATTTTATTGTTCAACTCAATTGAGCCGTCACCTGTTCAGACTTGTTTCATTGTTGTGTATGCGTTTAACACTGTGAATTACATGACCAATAAAACTATTAGAATCGACTGTAAGGCGGGATTGCATATTTTGTTGGTTTGGGGAAAATATCACATCTAGTCAAGAAAAAAAAAATAGCTTATATTATATCCAGTCAATCATTGTTGCATTGTGGGAGACAGTACTAAGCACAGTCATGTACACTACACATATTAGCTAGTAAGTAGCAAGTCATCAGAGTAACCCCATGCATTTAGATCATGAACCTTCAGTAGCAGTGCATGGTAACATGAAGTGTACTACTTCAAATGTAACTGTTGTCTTTCCTAATCACACAGTTTTGAAAGGTTGTAGGGAAACTTGATATTTTTGTGACCTAAATATTTGCAATAATATATCAGAGTGTGCTATTGTCTCAGAGCGTCTGTAATGGAGAAAAAAACTGTTAGGATCCTAGTGTCCTTTAGTTAAGTTTATTTCTGGTATACCAGTTAAAAATAATCGACAATTTATCGAGCGTGAGAAATTTCAAGTTGAAAACAAGGTGAAAGAAAAGACTTTACAAAGACTAAAGCATTTCAGCTCCACTAACATAAAAGTCTAATAAACAGTTAAATCAAGACAGTGATGGGACGCAGAGGAGTGTCAGAACATAAAGAAGCTCAGTGATTTAAACTGACAAGTCATCCATCTCTCCCTCAATCTCCTCTGTCCATCTCTATCCCTCTAACCATACAGGTAACAATCACTCATTCATCCATCCATCTTTCTGTCAGAGCGCACAGTCGTTAAAGAAGAGCACATTGATACATCTCTCAATAAAAGAAGCGGTTTGGTACTTGAATAAATAAAGCATATATTACAAATAAACCAAACAAATGATTATCCATTAATACAGGAGTTTTTCACAGTAGTACATCAATAAATCAGTATAAAAAGCCTTCCATTCAGACACAAATGATTCTGTACAAACTTATATGTAAGTTTTGACAAACAGCAGAGTTGGGCAAAATTCATAATTTAAGAATCGGCTTACTTTAAATTCATAAGTGTGAATTCTCATATTCAATTGGCCACAGTCAGATTGTTGAATTGGAATTTGAATAACAGAAAGAGGAATTGACCGAATTGTAATTCAAAAAATTAATAGTTGCATCATCAATTTAATCACTATTATTGTATAACTGTGCCTATTTAATCCCTGATATGCACAAATCATTTTTCTTTGAACAGACATATTTCTACAAACTAAATACATTTTCACTTCCAACCAAGGTTCATTGGAAATAAATACATGCCTGAGAAAATTAAATAACTTACTGTACCACTTACAATTAAACCTAACCAACAGTGTTAACCAAAGCAAATGTGAGATAAAAATGCATTAGCTGAAGAAACAATGGGATTTTCTACAAATCTTTGATCTCTTTTATCATGACTTGTGTTTCATGGAACTCAAGTGCAGTGCTGTACCGGGTGAGAGACTGAGCAAGTTTACTGTGTTAGAAAAGCCAAGCCATACATATGGAGCTGGTTATGTGATGCCAATGTCCAAATGTATTTATTCACAAATCATGTGCTATGGTAAAAACATTTTGAGGTTATCATATTGAGGTAATATATAATATTGTGCAAGGAACCACAGAAAAATAACTGTTTATTAATAGATAATATGTCCCCATAATCATCATTTGTTTGAAAAGAGATGAAAGTTGTTGCCATTTTACTGCCTCTAGTGTTCATTTCAGCTGGAAGCTGTGATGAACTGTGTGTAAAGGTGCATTTTTAGAGTTTTGAAAAAAAATTTAGGTAGAGTCGCGTCTTTTTTTTCCAGATATTTTCAGATTTTAATTATGCCACCCTGCATCACAAAAAAAATCGCCAAAATGTTTTCAAATAATTGTATTTAAAAAATACTGACCAAATTTGAATCTATCAATTACATAATATATGGAGCTCATCTATCCACGCAAGTGTACTACTAGTAAAAGTATGTTAAAAAAAATTCAGTGGTCCATTAGTTGGCTTTGATTAATTCCATGGTCCAACAACATAATTTGATTATATGGCATTTCAAAATTGTATTATTAATATCATCTAGTGTTTCTAGAAATATCCCATATGTTGAGTGTGTGATAACGTTTATGGTTAATTCAAATTGAAAAATACAATTCTACTTCCGGTTTCAAATTAATTCTGTATCCTGATTGCTACCTCAATTCAAATCCAAGAATTTAAAAGCCATTCTATATTTAATTCTGAATGGTGCAGAACCCTGACAGGCAGATGAACAGTGTATGTACATTTATTCTGTGGGCAGAGGACATTTAACTTTGACCCACATTCTTCAAAGCTCAGTCCATCATCAGTCATATGGGATATCTCTCTATATGTCAGATGGTGATGAAGGCTCCTTGGTTGCTGTTGGCTGATTCTGGCTCCACACAGCGGCCCCGTCTTCGGGTCACCCTCCGCTTGTGGTGAAACTTTGCATAACAACGCAGACCTAAAGAATTTTACATTTACATTTATTAAGTTAAATTTATTACATTTTCCCAGGTTAGGGCCTTGATGCAATGTAAAATATCTTTATAGTTCTAAAAATAAACTTTTGATTTATTAGTGAAATACTGTAAGACCTAGACATGTTCCTGAGTTTTATGAGATTCCTTTCTATATATTGTTTATTGCTAGAATGTTATTTTTCCTAAAACCAAAAAAGCCATACCCACCCTCTTCACACATGCAGTCATCATAACACTTGTTGTTTAGGCCGCGATTGTGAGGTTTGCACTCATGTTCTCTCAGGTCACAACAGGAACCTGGTCGCAGCACAAAAAGAACCACAAATGTAAACACTGGCGAGAATTTTATCATATTGCTTGCTAATAAATATCATATTAAAAGAAACAGTTCACTGGAAAAAAAAAATTCATCATTTACCCATCCTCACATCATTCCAAACCAATATGACTTTTTCTACTGTGAAACACAGAAGGTATATTTTGGGAAATAGAAAGAAAGAAAGAAAGAAAGAAAGAAAGAAAGAAAGAAAGAAAGAAAGAAAGAAAGAAAGAAAGAAGCATGGATTTAATGCTCTTGAGCAAAAAAAGCTTACATGCTGGAGATATTATATATTTCATATTCTGTCGAAATACAAACTTAGAAATGTTGTTTATTATTTGTCGCAGCAGGTCAGGACAAAATATATACTGTATATGGAAGAGATTTTAGAAGAGAGCTTTTGTTTTGATTTTCGCTGTATTACATTGTGTCAGGTTAGTGCCCTGATGTAAAACTCCTAATAGTACAGTAGTTTATTGGTTTTAATAGTTTATTGGTGAAATGACCCAGACATGTTCCTGACTAAACCAATGTGGTTCGGACAACGAATGTGCAACAAACCACGGTGTGACTAGCTGGGTAATTTATTCAACGACATATCATACTAAAGTAGTTAGGCAGAGAGTTGTCACAGTACCCCAATCAACTATTCTGACTGAAAAGATCAGACTCAAAGGGTAAATCTCATTCGCTCATGAATGTGCCCAGAAGACACTTTTTTTTTTATGTACCATCAGTGTTCCATCAAAAAAGAAGAAAATCATACAGGTTTGGTACAGCATGATGAAAAGTAAATAATGACAGATTTGTAATGTGGTGACTGGGCAAACTATTCCTTTGTAATATAAAAACAATTATAGCGTTGCACTGACCAGGGAGGCAGTTGAGATGATGGTCACATGGGTCAATGACATCAGCATCAAGTGTTGCGTTCCCATTACTCTTGTTTTTGCCACGACGTTTATCTTTATTGGGGAAAAAGACAGACACAGGCCTCCTATGAAATCCTTTATTCAGAAATCAACTGTGAGTTTGCAAATTATTTACGCTTAGAGGTTTAAAGATCTGGGAGAACTACATCCAGTCTTATAATCAAATATTTATTCAGATCTTTCGATATAGCTTGGTCTTAACTCCCCAAAGATTTTGACTTTAAAAAAAAAGGAAACAAATCTGACAGATTGTAAAATCACTGTTATTGATTAAACTTGAGAATGTACTTTCATACCTTTTCTTTTGTTGGATGGCCAAGTGTCTACAGGCTTCATATCCTCATAATCAGTCCAGTCAAAGAGTGCCATGTCCAGAGTTGGCATCACCTCCCCTTGAGCCTTCCCTCGAGTCGGCTTCTGAATGAGATGGATTTAAAACATGGTTTTAGAGAGGTTTATTCTGGGTGATCATCTTGACGTCACCTTTAAGCAAGGTGCTAATTCAAAACCTGTGCTATAACAGCTTTGGGTAACACTTTCCTCAAAGTAACATATATATTACAATAAACAAGAAGTATACAAGCAAATGTAACTAAATACTGCCCCCCCAACTTTCACCCAGCCCACAGCACATCAGGAATTCAAAAATGGGTACGTAATAATCACTTTAATGTAGCTTGCGCCAACAGTTGTACATGGAAGCAGTTCTGGGCAGATGACGTATGAGGTCAGTGCTGCGCATGCGCCGGGGAGTCTCGTGAAAACCAATGTTTGTTTACAGGAACAAAGGAAGCAAAGTTGGAAGCACCAGTCACCTCTTGGCTTATATCGAAATCCTCCGACATTCTTCTTAACAAATCCTCATTTTGTATTTCTAATTAGTGACCGTTGTTTTGTTTTGATCTCTCCGCTGCACTTCGATAATATAACTTTTTAATATAACTCCGACTGGATTCGTCTGAAAGAAGAAAGTCATATACACCTAGGATGACTTGAGGGTGAGTAATTTATGGGCTAATTTTCATTTTTGGGTGAACTAAGGGATTATAATGAATGCAATATATATATATATAAAAAAAAACATACACATGTATCATCTCATAAATAATCATAATAACAATTATAATACTCACGCATTTGTGGTTATAACTTTTAAGAGTATGATTTCTTACACACAATTAATACCATATTAAATCCACTTAGTTTATGATTGTCACAAAGCAAGGCCGGAAACAACAGGTAAGTGCAAAACAGAATGGTTTATTGACTGGATAAGCAGAAGAATGGAACGGGTGAGGTAAAGGCAGGTGAGTGTCAACACAGTGAATGATTCCAGGGTTCTTATCGGAGTTCTGATGGTGTGTATCTTATGCCAGTTTCATTGGAGATCGTGGAACCGATTCCAAGGAGTCGTTGGAGGATCGCGAGAGGAACAGAAGGTAAGTCTTTCTAGGAGAATTCAGTAGAGAGTCCAGAACAGTCCATAGGAGTGAACGGTGGACCGGACAGTGAGTAACTTTGATGTGTGTATATTTGTAGGGTGGCTTGATTGGTGACAGCAGGTGCGGGTGATCAGAACTCAGGTAACTGTGATTGGGTGATTGTCCAGGATGGTGACTGAAGTGACTGATGAATCCCTGACATTTCCCTCTCCTCCAGGGGCGGCTCCTGACACCCTCAAGCGACGACGGGGGCAGCCACGGCTTCTGGGTGCGGGGCGACCAGGATGGGTGCGATGGAAGTCCTCTAGTAGCAAAGGGTCCAGAATGTCGTCCCTGGCCAACCAGGAACGTTCCTCCGGTCCATAACCATCACAGTCTACTAAATATTCCAACCGACCACCCCGTCGCCACGAGTCCAGGATGTCTCGGACCAGGTAGATGGATGGTTGGTCAAGGACTTCTGGAGGAGGGGGTTCGTCAGATTCGGTGGGTCCTGGAGCAGAGGGAGAGTGAGGTTTAAGGAGTGAAACATGGAAAGTAGGGTGAATTCGGTACCTGGGTGGGAGTCGGAGTTCATATGTGACCTCGTTGATCTGCCTCTGTATCGGGAACGGACCAATGTAGCGGGGACTCAGCTTCTTACAGGGCAGGCGGAGGCGCAGATCCCGGGTGGACAGCCATACTTTTTCTCCTGGATGGCAAGTGGGAGTGGAAGTACGCCAAGCATCTGCGAAGGCCTTGTGCCTCCGCACTGCACGTTGGAGGTGGAGATGAGCTGAGTCCCACACTCTCTCGCTCGTTCGGAACCAGTGGTCTACAGCTGGAACCTCCGACGGTTCTCCTGTTCACGGGAAGAGCGGGGGCTGGTAACCGTGTATGCACTGAAACGGCGTGAGGCCGGTGGGGGTCTGTCTCAGGGAATTCTGTGCATACTCTGCCCAAGGGAGGAAACGGCTCCAGCGGTGTTGGTCGTCGTGACAGTATGCCCGGAGGTAGCATCCGAGTTCCTGGATCTTCCGCTCAGTCTGGCCGTTTGTCTGGGGATGGTAGCCTGAGGACAAGTTGACAGTGACCCCTAATAGCCGGAAGAATGCCTTCCAAACGCGGGAGATAAATTGAGGTCCCCTGTCAGAGACTACGTCCTTGGGGACTCCAAAGTTTCTGAAGATATGTGTGAATAAACTTTCTGCAGTTTCGAGGGCGGTTGGAAGTCCTTTGCTGGGCCACCAGTACCGAGCCTGGAGGAGCGAGAGGGTCCGTTGGCTGCCTGGATGTCCAGAGCCTGGTACATTGTGAACTGAGCCCAGAAGGGATTGCTGTTGAGAAGTGGGTACATACGTTTTCCCTTCTGGGCCTCCCGGCGGAGCAGGTTCGGTAAGAGTGGCGGCTCGAATGTCCTCGCCGATGTTCCATTGAATGGGGCTTACAATCAGGGCTGGAGGGAGAATGGGCTCAGGATCGGAAGGTGTGTCTGGAGAGTGCATGCGTGAGAGGGCGTCGGCTTTATTGTTATGATTCCCAGGAAGATAGGTAATGGTGAACTGAAACCTGGTGAAGAACAATGCCCAGCGGGCTTGGCGAGGGTTAAGTCTCTTGACTTCTCTGAGGTATTGAAGATTCTTGTGGTCGGTAATTGTGAACGGATGGTTTGCTCCCTCCAGCCAGTGCCATCACTCCTCCAGGGTGAGTTTGATACCCAACAACTCCCGGTTGCCGATGTCGTAATTCTGCGCCGCTGGGGTCAGTTTCTTAGAATAGTATGCGCAAGGCTGGAGGCGAGGAGGCTCACCGTAATGTTGGGACAGCACGGCCCCAATGCCGGTGGTGGAGGCGTCCACTTCCACTACGAACGGAATGTCCGGATCAGGATGGTGAAGAATGGGGGCCGTGCTGAAGGCTGTTCTGAGCTTTGTGAGAGCTTTGTGGGCGCTGGTGGTCCAGGACAGGGACTTGGGTTTTCCTCGGAGCATGGAAGTCAAAGGAGCAGTGTGGGAACTGAAATCCTTGATGAATCGACTATAGAAGTTAGCAAATCCTAGAAATCTCTGGAGCTCCTTTACGGTCTGGGGAAGAGGCCACTCCTTGACTGCATCAACCTTCCCCTGGTCCATCTGAATTCCTTCTTGGCCGACCATGTAACCCAGGAACTACACAGTGGGGTGATGGAATTCACATTTCTCCAGCTTTAAGAAGAGATGGTGTCGACGGAGCTTCTGTAGGACCTGCTGAACATGTTGGCGATGGTCGGCCACGTTCCGGGAGTAAATGAGTATATCGTCGATGTAGACAATCACAGAGCGGTGGAGAAACTCCCAGAGCCCCTCGTTCATGAATCCCTGGAAGACCGACGGGGCGTTGGCTAGCCAATACGGCATTACAAGGTACTCATAGTGGCCAGTTGGTGTAATGAATGCCGTCTTCCACTCGTCGCCCTCCCGGATTCGAATGAGGTTGTATGCACTTTGCAGGCCCCACGGAGTTCTTCGAGGGCGGTCGGGACCAGGGGAAGTGGATAGGGCAGTTTCACCATATGGGAGTTCAGAGTCTGATAGTTGATACAAGGCCGCAAGTCCCCGTCCTTCTTGCCCACGAAGAAGAAACTAGAAGCAGCTGGAGAAGTGGAAGGTCGGATGCATCCTTGGTTAAGAGCCTCCTTGATGTATTCCTCCATCGCCTTGCACTCTGGGATGGACAATGGGTATACTCTACCCTTGGGGAGTTTTGCTCCAGGCAAGTTGATGGCGCAGTCCCATGGCTGATGAGGTGGTAACTGGGTGGCTGCCTGCTTACTGAAGACATCCTGGAACGCCAAGTAATCAGATGGGACCGTGACCTTCTCCCGAGGTTCGGGGCTTTCGACGAGGGTAGATGCAACTTGAGCTGAGCGAGATCCTGGGAGCGGAGTGGGTAATGACGTGAGGCAGTTGCGGTGACAGTGCTCGCTCCAGCGAGTCACCTCACACGAGTCCCATCTGATCTCTGGAGAATGGAGAACTAGCCAGGGGCGTCCCAGGATGATATCCACGGTGGGTCCCTCCAGTGCCAAAAACGTGATTTCCTCCTCGTGTAGAGTGCCAATCTTCAGCTTTAGTGTCGGTGCTCTATATTTCACCCACCCACGTCCTAGCGGTTTTCCCTGGATGGTCTTGACTCGGAGTTCCTGGGCATGACGTTTCCGGGGCAGATGGAGACGATTCAATAGGTCCTGGGATTTGAAATTGCCCAAGGAGCCCGAGTTGACGAGGGCAGGGACTGAAACAGAAAGGTCTGGGGTAAGTAGTTGTACCGATAGCATTGACAGCGTGGAAATGACAGGGTCTAGTTGGAGGGTACTCACCGCAGGACGTGGGGGTCTGACTGGGCAGGTCCTGATGTAATGATCCTTCGCAGCGCAGTAAAGGCACAGACCTGCCACGAGATGGTGAGCACGTTCAGATGGGGTGAGCCGGGAGGTGTCTACTTGCATCGGCTCTGGTACAGGGGAACCCATACCGGGCGTGACGGACTGGTGGGCGGCTTCGGTGGCGTGGCATGTGGACAGACGCTGGGAAATTCGTTTGGCTTTTTGCATGAAACTTTCCAGTCCAACGGAATCATCATAGATAGCCATTTGAGCTTGTACACGGGGATTCAATCCTTGCCGGTAAGAGCTAAGTAGAGCCACCTCATTCCACCCGCTAGTCGCCGCCAGCATTCTGAACCACAGTGTGTAATGGAAGAAGTGCCTTGGCGCAGCCGCAGTAACTGGTCGGACACAGATAGGGTGTGGGAGGTCGAGGATCCATGGAGGTAATTGTATGGGTCCGGTCTTCTGTCACAAAGCAAGGCCGGAAACAACAGGTGAGTGCAAAACAGAATGGTTTATTGACTGGATAAGCAGAGGAATGGAACGGGTGAGGTAAAGGCAGGTGAGTGTCAACACAGTGAATGATTCCAGGGTTCTTATCTGAGTTCTGATGGGGTGTATCTTATGCC